CAGAGGACATGAAACTCCTGGGTCAGAGATAAAGGACTATTACTCTAGGCAAAAGCTCTAGCCAGAGCTTCATGGTTGTTTGCACTGCTCCCCAAGTTTCCCAAAGGCCTGGGGGCATGACAGAAAGGGTCCATGCTGGAATCTTTCACAGGCAGTGCCTGGGTGAGTCCCAGAGGACCACCCAGCCTGGGATTCACCACTTTACTTGTAAGCTTTCCCTCTGCCCTGGAAGGGGGTGGAGGGAGATGCTACCTTATCTTTTAAGGCTTTCCACAAACTCAGCAATGAGAAATGGTCAGGGTAATGAACAGTCCTGGCCTTGTATTCTTTTTTAATGATTTTATTAGCATATAATAGTTGTACAGGGGATATATTGTGATATGTATATGTGTGTTTAAAATATATCTTCACTGGATTTACTCTCTCCATCATTCTCCCTCTTCCTCCCTTCCTACCCTTCTTAGAACAATTTCAACAGGATTCATTCTTTTATTTTAATATATGGATACTAAATGCATCCACCACATACACCCTCATTCCCACTTTCCATGTGCCCACATCCCTCCCACAGGTACCCATCCCCAGAAAAGTTTTCCCTCCTGCCCTTCATTTTTTAAAAAATTAAATGTATATTAATAGTCTAAAGGGGTCTCTCCTTAGTACTTAAAGTCTGTGTTTATGGTGCTTTTATCAGGTTAACCCCCTCCCCTCTGTTACTTACTCATTACCTACCACCATGCTCTCCTAATACTCAACAGTTTACTATACAGTGCGCTGTATTATAATCATATATAGATAGGTTTGAGTATTTTTCACTTTCTAACATTTTCTTTATCCCTCCAACCTCCTATAGCCCCCTCAGACTCACTAATACAATTTTGTTGTCCCCATCACTATCTGTGTATGTGTGTATGTTTCTATATATACATTTACCTTATAGGTCTAGCTTTCATGTGAGCGAAAACATGTGACTTTTTTTGTTTGGCTTATTTTGCTTAACATGTTCCATCTATCTACCTGCAAACACATAATTTTATTCTTCCTTATGGCTGAACAAAACTCCATTGTGTATATATTCCACACTTTCTTAATCCACTCATCAGTTGTGGGGCATCTGGGATGCTTCCAAAGCTTGGCTATTGTGAACAGTGCTGTAGTAAACATGGGTGTGCAAGTGGCTCCATCATATCCTGGAGCACGTTCTTTTGCATATATCTGGGCTTGCATTCTTGACAGGCTCAACAAGATGTGCAGGTAGACTCAGGCTCACGGATGACCTCACCCAGCAATCTATCATTCATTCATTCATTCATTCAAAAAACTCATTTAAATGTGTTGAGTCACCTACTGTGACACTAAGGATACCACAGATTCCCAGCAGAAGAAGAGTTAACATTTTAGTGGGGAAGGCAGAGAAATGGAAGGAAACTAAATAAACAGTATGATGCCATCTCTGTGAGGAACTGTGAGGTGAAAGGAAGTTGAGTGGTGGGATAGAGAGCATTGTTAAGTAGCGTGATGGGTTGTGGATCCAATGGGCAGGGAAGGCCTGTCTGAGGGGAAGGCATCTAGGCAGAGGGCACTCCTGAGAAGGGAGCATACTGTCATGCTCAAGGCAGCAGGAGTCAGTGTAGCTGGACTGCAGTCAGCAGGAGAAACGAGGTCAGAGGTGAAAGGAGGCTTGGGATTGAGACACAATAGAGTTTTCTAAAGGACAAGCATGTGGACTTTTTATATAAAACTATTTGCATAAAAGAGTTAAATGAAAACCATCATACAGAACCTCCAGTTCAGTATGGAGGGCAGATTGGTGCTCTGGACGAGTGGGGAATTGGGGAATCAGAGAGCTGAAGTCCCACGAACAGTCTCAAAGCACATGCTTTGAGTCAGCTTGGGCTGCTATAGCAAATATCGTTGATTGGGGGGGAGGGGATTAAACAATAGTAGTTTATTTCTCACAGTCTGGATTAAAGTGCCAGCTGATCGCTTCCTGGCTTGTGGGCAGGGCCTTTCTGCCGAGTCTTCACATGATGGAGCAAGAGAGTGAGCTCTCTAGTGTCTCTTCTTAAAGGATACAATCCTATCAGGTCAAGGCTTCCCCCTCTATGGCCCTCCGCCCCCATAGGCCTCAGCTCCAAATTCAGTCACATTTGGGGTTAGGATTTCAACATGTAAATTTGGAGGGAGGGGGAATGTAATTCAATTAATTGCAGCAAGCTGGCAAATCTCTCTCCACTGTTTATCTACAGAAGGGAATGATGTCTAAAAAGACTGCTGATAAATTCAACTGTGAAAGTGTGTGAAATAGTATTTTTTACAAGTATTTGAGAGATTAAAACAAAAATATGATATGCATCAAAGATTAGAAGAGAACTGACTCTTAAGGTCTAGACTTGGATTTCAAAAGAGCAGGAACGGTCATTTTTATTGAACACTTACTCAAGCCTGTGTTGCCAGCTCTACCCAACTTGCATTTTACAACAATCTCATGACAAATACAATTATCCCCATTTTTTAAGATGAGAAAACTATATCAGCCTAAGTTTCTCAAAGTTTCCCAAGTGATAAATGATGTGATATAAAAAGTGAAACTATGAAGAGAATATACAGTAGCATGAAAAGTGTTGAGAAATCGACAAAATAAAAAATTGATATTAAGCATGAAAAATGTATGTGGAGAGGAGCAAAACCTGAGCATGAAAGCATGTCATCCATCTGCTGGTGCAATATGAATGTTTGTTCATATTTAATATTTTTGCTCTTCTTACCATGTTTGTTCAAGAAAATGGGGAGAGTATCATTATAAAAGTATTTCAAAGGCTAATCTCCATTTTTCTTTTAAAGGATTCTTCTCATTGCATTAATTCTCTCCAAATCTTCCAAAATCCAGCATCTCCAGGACCAACATCAAACCCTTCTCCTCAGGCAGTTATATTCTGAATGTTTATCTCTTCCCATTTCAACCACATCCATTCCCACAGCAGCCAGACCCACCTGCTTTGATGTTCTGTATCTCAGTTCCTTCCCTACACCTCAGGAAAACTTCAGTAGCCTCCTCCTTCAAGAAGCCTCCCTCAGGGCCCCCAACTCTATGACCCTGAACTGTACCATTTCTGACATTTTTATCAGGGACTTGAGGTTTAAGCCTGTAAATTCAAGTATTTTTACTTTGACTCCCTTGAACCTTGCTTTTTATGTCCTGTAAGTGTGCTGTTCTCGCTGTGTAAGCAAGAACTGTCATACCCAGTAAGAATATAGAAAGGACAGGCTTGTGAGCAGATGAGGAAGGGAAGAGAAAGGAGAAGGACATTCTTGGAGTGTCCTACCTGCAGGACGAGATTGCCCAGCTGCCAAGGGTAGGGTTGCTAGAAGATCAAGGCAAGAAAGTCCCTCTATCTGCTGCAGCTGGGTGGTCTTACCAGAACATTCTTTATGGGAGCTCAGTTTCAGGGCTCAGGGCCCACTGGCTCTAGGGAGCGTCCAGCTTGGTCAGTTCTGCTGCCCTGAAAAGGGAAGAGGAATGTGGGTGGGTTTTGGGTTCCTTGTTTTCTATTCCACTCCTAAGAACAGAGTATAGCTTTAGAGTGATTTAATTATGCACGTTTTAAAAAAGTGTGAAGCTGAAAAGTGTGAGGTTGGTGGAGGATTAGGGTAATTTCATCTTTCTAAACTGTTTTCTAAAGACAGTGTCTGCACAGTCTAGAAAACAAGCATTGATGTGAGCAGGTTCTGTGCAGCAGTCAGTCTGGCAATATGACCTAAAAATGCATTTGGTTTGCTTCTCCAGAAAAACGCCTTTCAGGTTTTTCATCATTAATCAATAAAATACCTGTTAACTATAAAAAATAAAATAAATTGTACGTGTAACAAGAAAAAAAAGTGTTTTCTACCTTTGGCTAAGGGTCAATAAAAATAACTCTAGGGCTGGGGGTGTAGCTCAGTGGTAGCTCATGTACCTAGCATGCACAAGGCCTTGGGTTCATCCCTAGGGCCCCAAAAACTACACCTCCACCCAAACCTTCCAGCTTGAATGTGGAAGACAAAGTGGGGAACATTAGAAACTGAAAAGGGGGTAGGGATGGAGTCATGGGACTTTTGGTGTATTATGGGTGAGGAATGGAGCTAGTGAAGAAGTTAGAAACTCTCTCACTCTGGTCTCTGCCAAACTGATCAAGAGCTATGTTCATTTTGCATGGACCCTGCAGTGAACTTCTTAGGGCACCGCGATGCTCCAGGACAGAAGTGCTGTGGGTGACGCCACAGAGTGGGGATGGGTGAAGGAGTTTTCCATTTCACATACTGCAAGACCTGAGTCTCCTACAGGTAGATTCCAGATTCCACGAAACCAGAACCCATTTGGCCAGGACAGGATGGGACCCGATGTCTTCAATGTCTGACTGAGCTACCAGGAGGGGCAGAGGAACCCGCGGAGGTGGCGAGTAAGAAATTCCTACGTGATTATAAATTTTTCCCGGAGTCTACCTCAGTTAGATTCTCTCTGCTCGCTGAATCACCGAGACGAGCAGGGAGAAAGCTGCAGACCCGACTCTTACTGGTGGATTTTCTAAGCCGCCCCCGCCCTCCCCAGCCCGCACCAAGTGCCCCTCTGCTCTAGCCCCCGCGGGGGAGGGGGTAACTCTGAAAGCCCCGCCCCTGAGTGCGGACACTAAGCCGCGCTATCGGGTTCCAGCCATCTGACACAGGTTGCCCCAGGGACAACGACGCGAGATACTAAGGGCTGGCGCGCCTTAGTGGAGCTGGACTTATCCCCCCTCCCCACCCGCACACACACACTTTTGCAAAAGAGGATCCCTGAGGGTTCCAGGCACAAGTGCCAAAGGGAGGCTGCAGCCCAAAAGAGGAACCAGGGTAGGGCGACCGAGACCTCTCTCTGTCCTTCCTTGGCACTCAGTGCCCCTCCTACTTATCCACTTTAACGGTCCACGCCGAGCTCCCGGACAACGCGTGCATTCCTGCCCAGCAACCCAAGCCAGCGCGCCATGGAAGCCTCTAACCTCTCAGCTTCCACCACCGGCGTCGCCCTTCTCCTGGGACTGGAGATCTGCAGCGGTAGCCCAAGCCCCGGCGGGGTCGTTGGATCGACTCCAGGTGGCGCCGTCCTGCCTGGCCGGGAGCCTCCCTTCTCCGTCTTCACGGTGCTGGTGGTGTCGCTCCTGGTATTGCTGATCGCTGCCACTTTCTTGTGGAATCTGCTGGTACTGGTCACCATCTTACGCGTCCGTGCCTTCCATCGTGTGCCGCATAACTTGGTGGCCTCGACGGCCATATCGGACGTACTAGTGGCAGCCCTGGTCATGCCACTGAGCCTGGTGAGCGAGCTGTCGGCTGGACGACGTTGGCAGCTGGGCAGGAGTCTGTGCCACGTGTGGATCTCCTTCGACGTACTGTGCTGCACTGCCAGCATCTGGAACGTGGCAGCCATCGCCCTGGACCGCTACTGGACCATTACGCGGCACCTGCAGTACACGCTGCGCACCCGCCGGCGTGCCGCCACGCTCATGATTGCGCTCACTTGGGCGCTGTCGGCTCTCATCGCTCTCGCCCCGCTGCTGTTTGGTTGGGGCGAGGCGTATGACGCTGGGCTTCAGCGCTGCCAGGTGAGCCAAGAACCCTCCTACGCCGTGTTCTCCACTTGTGGCGCCTTTTACCTGCCCCTTGGCGTGGTGCTATTTGTCTACTGGAAGATCTACAAGGCGGCTAAGTTTCGCTTCGGCCGCCGCCGGGCTGTGCTGCCGTTGCCCGCCACCATGCAGGTGAGGGACCAGCTGTGGTGTTGGGTATCCGTGACGCTGTGAGAGTAGGAAGTCTGGGGAAAGGAAGAGTGGGTGGAAGCTTGTATACGAGGAACGCGCGACAATGTTGACCGCCAACGCACCTGCAGGGCACCAGGAGTTTGCCATCTGCTAGTTAGAAGAGCACACAGAGCGGTTTATCGCTTGCACTTCTGGCGCGCACGCGCAAAGGGTCACCACTTCCGTGGTGCGAGCCTGGGAAAGGGTTTCATCCTCTGCATACTAGGGCTGGAACCCAAGCTGACATTGCTATTCCTTGGAAAGGAAGAGGGCTTGCATGTGCAGCCTTTCTGGATAGGTCACATCTAATTAGATGCGCTCGCTGTGTCTTTCCCCCCTGGAGTGGTTGTGTCCAGGTCAGGCTTGGAGCGGTCAATTGCTAGGTTCTGGCAAGACCAGAGTGTGTAGGACTGTGGTGAACTGGAATTAGTCTTGCTACATGTCTGTGCCCATTCGCCCTTTATTGTCTGTCTCCCCCAGACCCCAATGCAGTGACCTTACTCATCAGCCCTAACTGACTCCGTCCCTACCAGGGGAAAAAATGAGAATAAAAAAATCCAAGTATCATTTTCTTTGGTTATCCCAATCTCAGTGCAATACTCTAGTGAGATGGGGGAAAAACAGAATTGTGGGATGCAATCCCAGTTTGAGATATCCCATGCTTAATATCCGTGTGTCTTGTTTCCTTGTCTTTAAGCAAGTTAATTCCTACTTCATAAAGGTCTGGGTGAGAAGTACATGAAATGAAGAATGTAAGGTACCCGGCACAGTGCCTGGCAGAACTGGCTAGAGTAAAGGAGATAACCAGGTGTTTACTGATAATCTGTAAAGAAGGGACAATCTCATTGGAAATGAATGAGATGAAGAAACTTGGTAGACCTCTGGATATAAATTACTATTCTGTGTGGAGCTTTTTGTCCTTGGCTAGGCCTAATAGATGCTATTGACCATCTAACCCTAGAATTCCAACTCTTTTTTTTTTTTTAGGAGTCTATGCTTGAGGCAGCAAGCTCCTAGTCCTAGAGAACAATAGGATTCATTGTCCTTTTTAAAATACAATATATAGACCTGGAGAAGAGATGTAATAGAGGGGAACAGACAGGGCAAGTAGATCTTTTGTTATTCGTTTTGTTTTAATTTTAGAAAATTAACCCAGATACTTAGGCTACCAGACAAGAACCTGTGCTTTTAAAAGCAGGCTCTTTTTCTTTTTAATTAAATGATAGAGAAATTTTTAACATAAAATAGGAATGTCAAGACTATAATTGGAAAGTGTTGGGAGGGAGAGCATTATTCAGAATTAATGATTTCTTTGAAAGGTCCCTCGGAAATGCCTACAGTGATTATAGCTTTTCTGTCTGATGCTGAGGTAGAGCTGACTTTTAATAGCTACATCAATCCAGTGTACACACAGAGAAATGGATGCCGGAAAGGCTTTACTATTCATTTTTGACAGACTCCTTTTAGGAAGGTGACATAAAGAAGAGGCGACCAGATGGGAGACTGGCCAATCAGGAGTGGCTGGTGATGCAAAGATTTCCAGGAAGCAGGGACAGTGCTATGGTCTCATCACTCCTGGCAGCTGGGACCTGGGCAAGCCCTCCTCCAGTCTGAGCCTCAACTTCTGTAATATACATAATTGGTCCATAATGTCTAAGAGCCTTGAATCACAGGGTGCTGGGACAGTATATGAGATAGTGTTCTAGAGCAACCCTTTTCTTTGGGCTCCATCAAGCCCTCACTCAAAATCCCAAGTAATGTTCCTTAATTAGCATTTGCAAGCCCTCTGGCTACAAGACACCAAAAACAGATTTTTAAATTTAAAGTGCCAGAAATACTTTTTCTGTACTCTCTTCCCACCTGCTTTTTTTCTGCACACCAGGGGAAAGGAATTGGATTGAATTTAAGTGCTGCAAAGTGTCTAACTGCTTTCTGGGGGTGGCAGAGTCTCTGAAGATGAGATTGTGTACATCCTTCGTCTTTTGTAAGAATTCTATGGCTGGGACCCAACTTGAAAATATTATCAGAAAAGAATCTGCAACAGCTCCTGAACAGTGATTTATCCTTTGCTGGAAAATGCAGTTTTTGAAAATAAAGAAGGAAAAAATATTGACTCAGTGAATTCTGTCTTCCAGGCACTGTTTTTGATGCTTTAAATTCACCTCTTATTGAATACTCATGATCTAACAAAGTTTGTCACCCACTATCTCTAACAGTCAGGATATGCTATAACATATAACCCCCAAGCAAACAGAAGTTTATTTCACTCTCATGCAAAGTTCAGCATGGGTCTTTTGGCTTCCTGCATAAGTTTCCTGCAGGCAGTAACTCTTGGATTTGGGCCAGTTGTCATTTTTTAGCTATGCTATCTTGAATATGTGGCTTCTAAAATTGCTGTGGAAGTAGGAGAGATATGGAGATTGACCAGCTTTTAACTATCTTCTCTGAAGTTGACACACCACTTCCCACTTCTGTCCAGTCTTTTAGGAAGCTTTTGGCTACTGTGAACTTGAGGAAAGCACACTGATATTTGATGAGCCCTCATTTTACAGATGAGAAACTGAAAGCACAAAAAGTTAGTCCATCCAATACCACATAGCTATCAGATGGAGAAGCTGATGTCTGCACCAGATCTAGAATCACTGCTGTTTTCATTGCTTTTTCTTTACTGCATGGTATTTCCAGGCACTAATCTGAGGTCTTTCCCTCGGCCCATGCATACATCACTTGGAAAGGAATGAGGCAGCATTTCCCAGTCAAGGAAGAGTCCAAAACTATTCATATGAACTCCCCTTTCCAGGAGAGCTGAAGGCAGCTGGCACTTCTCTTAGGAAGCAGGTTTAATTCTTAATTTGGTGCCCTTTCTATTAACCTCATCCACACTGAGATACTAAGTCCTACACAGAGTATAATCAGCTCCCTACCCAAAGCAACCCCCATGGGTTATGCTGTTATGATTGTCTCCTACTGCCCAGCACCCTTTACTTGTTAGGAAGAGAAAAAAAACAAAGTCAACAGAGGTGATTTAAAAATATCATGTCAAATATTTTGCAGCTTATTTTTAAAATTCTTGTCAATTGCTTGTTTGATTTCTGTGCACAAGTTGGTACTGGACCTGGTTATCCATCAAAATAGGCCCACTACCAAGAGTGACAAATGTTTCAGGGGCAAATGACAATGTTTTAATTTTAACTTCTTTTAAAATTAGAAAAAAACTCAATGTAATAATAATTCATATGTAATAATGAATCCAGATTTGATTGTATTCATTTTTATAATAGTATGGTCATACAATATAATTTTAAATATTTTTAACGAAGGAAGGGGCCCATGGAAGCAAAGATGCCTATGGCCCCCGGTAGTCAGATACCCTTGGTACCTTTCACGCATTGTCAGTCCACAAGCATGTATTTAAAGAGTGTACACAGTGGTAAGAGCATGAGATCTGGAAACAAGAAGACCTGGATTTTAATTCTTTTTGTGCCTTTCATTAGCAGGTTAGCCAAATAACTTAATCTAAGTCTGCATTTCTCCCATATGCAAAGTGAAAATATTACTGTCTCATACTACACATTTTTTTTCTTTTGGCAGTACTGGGGGGGTTTGAACTCAGGGCATCACACTTGCTAGGCAGGCACTCTACCACTTGAGACACTCAGCTGGCCCTTTGTGCTATACATGTAAAGAGTAAATAGTGTATGTGGAATACTTAACTAGTAAACTATAAATGATAGCTGTTGTATTACTTTCATTATAATTTTTTTAATCTTTTTACAAAGTATAAGTAATAAAATTATTTTATTTCCCTTACTGCTATTACTTACCATTTTTGTTTGTGTAGCAAGTTATCTCAAAGCTTAGTGGCTTCAAAAAATAAATGTGTTAGCTCACAGTTAACATTAGGAACAATGTAGTTGGGTAGTTCTGGCCCAAGGTCTCCCATGGTTGTCATCAAGAGGTCACATGAAGGTCAGTTACTGGAAGTCTTGGTTGGAGCTGGAGGTTTTGCTTCCAGCGTGACTGACTCACATACTAATGGCAGTAGACCACAGTTCCATGCCAAAAGAACATCTTCATAGGGTTGCCTGAGTGTCATCTCAACATGGCCTGTTGTTTCTCTCAGAGCAAGCAATCCAAGAGAACAAGGCAAGGACAAAACTACAATACCTTTTATGATCTTGGAAGTCATATATGATCACTTCCACATATCCTATTCATTAGAAGTAAGTCACTAAATCCAGCCTACACTCCAGGCAAAGGGAATTAGGATGCACCCTTGGGAGAAGTGTCAGTCAACTGGTGGACATTTTGAACATGATGATTGAGTATGGTAGCCTCTGAGGTTCCAAAGAATGAGCAAGCAGGGCTCTGCTTTGAATGGGATTGATTTTAGTAGACTACAACTATAAAATTAATACATGCAATGACTTCTCTGCCAGAAGTCACAATGTTTCCTAAAAGATTGAATAGTGAATGAAGAACCACTTTATAATGTGAAGGACAAAATAAATGCATAATACTGAACTACAAGGTTTATGTCAAATTGGCGCTTGGTTTTACAAAGATGTGAGTTCTAAACCAATCCTCTATATTGACATTTTTTTGGAACCATGACCTGCTGCTATAAAGTTTATGTGTTGTAAGCACTGAGTAACCTGAAATCTGTACAGAGTGCATTGTTTATTTAAAATTCACAAATAATAAATGAATAAATGTATATATTTATAGGAGTTCTGTTAGTTTTCCAATGCTGTAATGAAATACCTGAAGCCAAGTAACTTACAAAAAGTAGATTCCTTTAGCTCACAGTTTTGGAGACTGAAAGTCCAAAAAGTATTGCACTAGAACTGCTAATGGTCCCCACTGGTTGCATCACCTCATGACAGATGGTATCATGGCAGGAGCACATGGACATGGGACAAGATGGGAAGTCAGAATCAAGTCCAAGAGGGGCTGTTCATTTAGAAGAACCCACTCTCAAGAACTGCAGTCCCACAGGAGAACCCAGTCCTTCTGAGGACATGCCCCACAATGACCTAATGACCTCCCACTAGGCCTCACTCTTAAGGGTTCCTCCACTTCTCACCATGGACACACTGGGAACCAACCTTCCAACATATGAACTCTTCAGGACAAACGACATCCACACCACAGTAGGTACAATGTTATCACACACACACACACACACACACACACACACACGCACATGCACACAGTGGAACGATTATATCAACCCAATTAACATATTCATCACCTCACATATTATTCTTAATAGTATGGACACTTAACATCTATTAGCAATTAAAAATATATAACAAAATGTATGATATATTTATTTATTGATTTGTTTATGATGGACCATCCTTGCATCTCAGGGATGAGTCCCACCTGAAAATGGTAAATGATCCTTTTAATGTTTTATTGAACTTGTTAATGTTTTGTTGAGGATTTTTGCATCTGTATTCTTCAGGGATATTGGCCTGTAATTTTCTTTTCTTATAGTGCCCTTGTCCAAGCCTGTCATGTTTTTGTTGCTTGTCCAGTGCTTACTTCTCCTGTGGACCACCTAAAGCCTAAATAGCTGGTGGTATTGTAGATACAGCCACCCAACTGGGGTTCAGATACGGAAAGAGGACAATAGAGAATCAACACTTTTGTTCTAATTCTGGCTACTAAAAACCTGTGAGCTTAAACACACCGTGATGCTGTGCTAAAAAGTTATTTTAATTAGAATATTAAATTTTCTGAATCAAATTGTATTCCTGGAAATAAACCTCTGACTTCGGTTTTGATTTTTTTAAGACAAGCACCCAATAGTTTGAGAATTGGTGTGCTAAGGAGCATTTCCTCTGCTTTTTCAGAAATACCTCTAACTCTCCATTCTCTATAAAATTCTCCCTTCCTCCTCTTCATCATTATTTTGTCTTTCCTTTTTCACTTCCATTTCTCTTTTCTCTCCTATTAGATTATTGGGAGAGTGGAAGGGGGAAAGAGAAACAAAGAGGATGTAGACAAGCATGGTACAGGAATTGTGTGTTTTCACAAATGACCTTGCAGTAAGCTAGTTCTTAAATCTGTATAGTTTCTGGAGAAGTTTGAGCCTCTCAGTGGAAAGATGCAAACTCCAAATTTCTTAATTTTCTGGTAGATCACATAATTTCTTGAAAAGTAAAGAAAGCTCTGAACTTGCTGCATAGTAAGGTATGTAGCTGCTAGCTCACTCAATTTGCATGCCCTTCCCTGGAGAATGATGCTCACTTGGCCTTCTTGCTGGCTCATCTCAGGGATGGAACCCATAGTGCAGTAGTAACCAGGACTGTCTGAGGCAGGGATGGCCCTCATTTGTGGTGATATGGCCTAGTAAAAGGCATATCAAAACACTGAGGCTGGACAATGCATCTACAAAAGACAAAATCTCCATTTGCTCCCGTTCAACTTCTCTGTGTGGCCAAGGAGCCCAGAGACCTAAATAAGAATTGTGGATTCGACAGAGGACCTTCCATTGACATGGACACGTAAAAGGGAATGATTTTTAGATCATATGATATTAAAGCTGAAAACACAAAAGTAAATTTACCTGAATTCCCTTGATTATATTTCTCCCTTCTTAGCATCAATTCCAGTGGATACATAGTCATGCCAGAGTGATTAAATAACCAACAGCAATAAAAAAATCCATTATTCCAAATATCAGAATTATAACAACTGTTCCCTAAGTCATGACCATACCCAAAAGCAAAAAAGCATATTCTGTTGTGTATTCTATTAGACGATAAGGGAACAGTTTATTTGCATCAAGCCTAACAATGCTCTGCTTTTATTTTTGAAATAATCTTTATTTGGTTGGTTTCTTTTGCACAAGAGAAGCATCTGAGAAAATTTCCTGTTCTAGGTTGTCAGACAAGCTAGACAACTTCTGTTTATTTTGGGTGATATTTTTATTAGTTATCTCTTGAAAGTACTTATATATAGAAATCAGACTTGGAGCTTGGCTATTGAAGAGAAAATGAAACTCCATTGCTCTAAGCCCTGACTTGAGGGCTCTGGTTAGAAACAGAGCATTCTAGTTATAACCCAGCTTCCCTTCAACCCTGATTGGGACGCTCTTAACGTCTCTCCCTTCTCACGGATTTTTAAAAATCTTTTATTCATATGTGCATACAATGTTTGGGTCATTTCTCCCTTTCCCTCCTCCCACCCCCCTCCCCTCCCTTTCCCCCTTCGCTTTCAGGCAGGAACTGTTCTGCCCTTATCTCTAATTTTGTTGAAGAGAGAGTATAAACAATAATAAGAAGGACAAAGCATTTTTGCTAGTTGAGATAAGGATAGCCATACCGATTCCTAGCATTGCTTCCATGTACATATGTGTTACATTCTAAGTTGATTCTTCTCGAACTGACCTTTTCTCAGCTCCTGGTCCCCTTCTCCTATTGGCCTCTGTCGCTTTAAAGTTTCTGCATTAGTTCCTTTGCATTCAGGACATCAGATAGTATCATGTTTTTTGGGTTTCTTACTTATCCTCATACCTCCCTTGTGTGCTCTTGCCTTACCATGTGACCCAAGTCCAACCACATTGCTGTATTTTTGCCCTTGATCTAAAGTCCACATATGAGGGAGAACATATGATTTTCTGGTCTTCTGAGCCTGGCTAACCTCGTTCAGGATGATGTTCTTCAGTTCCATCCATTTACTTGCAAATGATAAGATTTCAATCTTCTTCATGGCTGAGTAAAATTCCATTGTAAATAAATACATTTTCTTCTTTTTTTTTTAATTTGAGACTTTTTTTTATTCATATGTGCATACAATGCTTGGGTCATTTCTCCCCCCTCCCCCCACCCCCTCCCTTACCACCCACCCCGCCCCGTCCCTCTCCCCCCCATCCCCTCAATACCCAGCAGAAACTATTTTGCCCTTATCTCTAATTTTGTTGAGAGTATAAGCATAAATAGGAAGGAACAAGGGTTTTTGCTAGTTGAAATAAGGATAGCTATACAGGGAGTTGACTCACATTAATTTCCTGTGCGTATGTGTTACCTTCTAGGTTAATTCTTCTTGATTTAACCTTTTCTCTAGTTCCTGGTCCCCTTTTCCTATTGGCCTCAGTGGCTTTTAAGGTATCTGCTTTAGTTTCTCTTCGTTGAGGGCAACAAATGCTATCTATTTTTTTAGGTGTCTTACCTATCCTCATATCTCCCTTGTGTACTCTCGCTTTAATCTTGTGATCAAAGTCCAATCACCTTGTTGTGTTTGCCCTTGATCTAATGTCCGCATATGAGGGAGAACATAAGATTTTTGGTCTTTTGGGCCAGGCTAACCTCACTCAGAATGATGTTCTCCAATTCCATCCATTTACCAGCGAATGATAACATTTTGTTCTTTTTCATGGCTGAGTAAAATTCCATGTGTATAAATACCACATTTTCTTAATGCATTCATCAGTGCTGGGGCATCTTGGCTGTTTCCATAACTTGGCTATTGTGAATAGTGCCGCAATAAACATGGGTGTGGCAGGTGCCTCTGCAGTAACCTGTGTTACATTCCTTTGGGTTTATCCACAGGAGTGGGATTGCTGGATCATATGGCAGATCTATGTTTAGATTCTTAAGAAGCTTCCAAATTTTTTTCCAGAGTGGTTGCACTAGTTTGCATTCCCACCAGCAGTGTAAGAGGGTTCCTTTTTCCCCACATCCTCAGCAACACCTATTGTTGGTGGTGTTTCTAATGATGGCTATTCTAACAGGGATGAGGTGGAATCTTAGTGTGGTTTTGATTTGCATTTTCCTTTATGGCTAGAGATGGTGAGCATTTTTTCATGTGTTTTTTTTTTGGCCATTTCAATTTCTTCTTTTGAGAAAGTTCTGTTTAGTTCAGTTGCCCATTTCTCTGTTGGTTCATTAATTTTGGGAGAGTTTAGTTTTTTGAACTCCCTGTATAGTCTGGTTATCAGTCCTTTGTCGATTTGTAGCTGACAAATATTTTCTCCCACTCTGTGGGTGGTCTCTTCAGTTTAGAGACCATTTCTTTTGTTGTCCCACAGATGTTGTAGGGCTTGCTTAGACACAAAGATTAGGGAGTTACCTGACATCAGCCATATAGAGAGTCTTGCTGTACTAGGTTTCTGCAAACTGGTCAGTTCTGAAAGTAGTTAGGAATCCTTCTCCCCCTTTCTGTTTTTCTTTTCTGCTTCTAATTATTAAAATGTTTATATGATATTAGAGAATTACAAATGTTTATAGGTTGTTTGTGTGGCTTTTTTTTACAGAAAGAAGAATGGGGGACATTAAGTGGATATTTATTTAGGTCCTATCCTGTACTAATGTCTCATTGTAATCCTCACAATATGCCTAAGACTTGATCACCAGAGATCAAGTGTGGAATTTTCCACTTGTGGTGTCATATAAATGCTCAAGAAGTTTTGGATTTGGGGGCATTTTGGATTTCATATTTTTGGATTACAGGTGCTCAAGGAGTAAGATCTTAAGGTTTTGCTGTAAGGATGAATTTGTGGCATTCACTGCAAGTGTTCAGCACAGTGTCTGGTTGGTTTGAAGGTACTTCTTTATTTTATTTGTGTATATTAGTTGTACAAAGAGGTTTCATTGTGATATTTCCATATATGCATAGAATATACTTTAATTATACTCATCCCTTCTTTTACTCTTTCTTATCTCCCCTGCTTACCTCTCGCTTTTTTACAACTCAGTGGGTTCTATTATGCTATTTTCATACATGCATATAATGTACTTTGATCATATTTGCCCCCATTTCCCTTTCACTGGTCACCCCACAAATAGTCCCCCTTTTACACCACACACACACACACACACACACAACACACACACAACATACACACACACTAGATCTAGATTCCACACATGAGAAAAAAATGTGAAATTTGTCTTTCTGAATCTGGCTTGTTTTGCTTAACCTAATCTCTAATTCTATCCATTTTTCTTCAAATGTCATAATTTCATTCTTATTTCTGT